GTTTCACTCTGTTGAGACCTGAGTAGAGCAGCAAAAATCATAACCATTCTGCTGTATTACTAAAGAGGAAGCAGATCCTGCATATGTAATGTGGCTTCCCCCATATACACATATTATCAGAAACTATACTATACATAGGAACATTATTTACAATAAAAGGAATATACAGGCTTTGAAAGTTTTGAATATGATGAATTTAAAGGATCTAATTTATGAAAATGTCTCCTATATGACCTATTGGTGTTGCCCAAAGGTCACCAGTCAGATTTAAGCCTTTTAAGCCCATATTAAAAATTTCAGTTGTAACACGGTTGGTGGCAGTAGAAGAACCAACGCTTTCCTTATAGAAAGCACCATAGTGGTAATGTTAGACACAAGACGTATTACCTCTTGAGCATCTGTAAATTAAAAATGAGCTGTTATAAATATAAGACTTTTCTGCACCTTTTTTTCATTTTTTTTTTATAGCGTGTGGAATTAATACCATTCATAAAGTATTCAGACCCCCTTCTTTTTTCAATTTTGTTACTGCAGCACTACCTTCTTAAAGGTTATTTAGTAATTTTTGGGTTTCCTGTCAATCTAGACCTCTTGTTGAAAGCCCAACCTCTGCTGACACCACCATGATCTCGTGACCAGAATAAATCACAACTGTAAAATGGACTCACACACAAGTTAGTGTAAACCAATATGAAGTTTATATTGGAATTAAAGGTAAAGTAATCAAAAAGGACAAAATGACACTGATATATGCTGCAAATATAATCACTGTTGGTAATTGTGAGCAAAAGTAATGACATTCACAGTAAAGCAACAATAACTGTTGGCAGGCCTGCTTTCAAAAATAATCCACTGCCTCCAATTTGAGGGGACTGCTAATTCCCCAGTGAGCAAGAACAACTATCAAAAAACAGGTAAGCTCACTGGGGGTCCTCAGAACTAGATTACAAGGATTAAATGTGAGGTAAAGAAAATTTTTACTGGAAATTGAGCAATATCCCCTACTGTGTCTTCTACGTGCTTGTTGGGGCCCAGTTGGTATGAAGTTGAATTGAGGTGTGGAATATAGTTCCTCAGGATGGTAATACAAGGATAGTGAGGGGGGAAAAAGGGAAGATTTGACACCTTTCCTCTTGGTGGTAGCGATTTAGTGTGGGGTCCCCCTTTAAGGCACTAAACATATGCCAGGTTTGAAGTAATGAATAGTAACAATTGACATAGGTGTCTAGGTACAAAGATAACTCTCTCTGAATATTAAAGGCAAAATGAACAGTAGTAGGAATCCTGTTTTGTTGAAAAAGAAAACTTTTTTTTTCAGTTGGCACTGCTGCATCCTGGCCTGAAACTGTATGTCCTGCGGTCAGCTTGTACGATAAACTGTAATGCAGATGTAGTACAATGGTGACTGGGTGAACTAGGCCGCAAACTGGGGAAACTATATGTAGTATTCATAACTATGTTTAGGTAGATAGCTGAGGTGGCAAAACTGTCAGTATTCACTTGGTTAGTGCGTGCATGGGTCTCTCACTCGATCAAAGTAGCCGGCAGATCGTAGCAGCCTGTTTTTCCCTGCAGAGGGGTCAGTCCATGGATTCTACGGTTCAGACTTGGTGTCCTGTCTGGTCTCCTGCTGTCAGATTGGCCTTCTGGGCAGTGTGGTAGACCAGGTGGTAAGTAAGCTCTTTCCACTGTCTCCACAGCCTAGTTCAGCACTTCAGCCTTCAACAAACCTCCTTCTCCTTCAGTCTCTTCCCGCACGCTCCTGGCCAATCTCCCAGGCTTGGATATTTATATGCCCCTGCCCCACACGCTATCTCTCTTGGGAAATGTAGTCCCTGAACACTCTGCTCACCAGTTGAGTCCTGCTGTACAGGATAAAAGTTCCAGAGGGCTGTTCTGTCCATGTGAGTGCCCCTGAATGACAAGCCACCGCCATCTAATGCCCATCTTAATGTATTGCAAGTAATAACATTTCAATGGGTTTCATTATGTTGCAACCTGATACTACAGTTTAAAAAACTCATTTTTTTTTCTCAACAGTCTACACTCAGTACTCCATAATGACAAAGTGAAAAAATAATTTATTAAAAAAAAAAACTGGAATATCACATGTACTTGAGTATTCAGATCCTTTACTCAGTACTTTGTTGACGCACCTTTGGCAGCAATTACAGCCTTGAGTTTTTTTTGGGTATAATGTGACAAGCTTTGCACACCTGGATTGGGGGATTTTCTGCCATTCTTCTTTGTAAATCCTCTCAAGCTCAGTCAGGTTGGATGAGGACCATCTAGACAGCCATTTTCAGGTCTCTCCAGAGATGTTCAATAGTGTTTAAGACAGGGCTCTGGCTGGGTTACTCTAGGACATTCACAGAGTTGTCCCTAAGCTACACCTGTGTTGTCTTGATTGTATGCTTAGAGCTGTTGTCAAGTTGGAAGGTGAATCTTAAACCAGGTCTGAGGTCCTGAGTGTTGTGGAGCAGGATATCTCTGTACTTTGCTCCATTCAGCTTTCCCTCAACCCTGACCAATCTTGTAATCCCTGCTGCTGAAATACACCCCCACAACATAATGCTGCCACCGCTAAGCTTTACTCTTGGGATGGTATTGGGCAAGTGATGAGCGGTGCCTGGTTTTCTCCAGGCATAACGTTTAGAATTGAGGTCAAACCATTCAATCTTGGTTTCATCAGGCCAGAGATTCTTGTTCCTAGCAGTCTAGAGTCCTTGAGGTGCTTTTTGAAAATTCCAAATGGGTTTTTATGTGTTTTGCACTGAGAAGAGACTTCCATCTAGCCACTCTGCCATAAAGCCTAGACCGATGGAGGGCTGCAATGTTTTTTGTCCTTTTGGAACTTTGTCCCATCTCCATTCAGAATCTCTGGAGCTCAGTCAGAGTGACCATTAGGTTCTTGGTCACCTTTCTTAATAACACCCTTCTCCTCCGGGTTGTGCCAAACATTTTGAGAATTATGGAGGCCACTGTGCTCTTGGAAACCTTCAGTGCAGCAGAATTTTTTCTGTAGCCTTCCCCAGATCTGTGTCTTGTAATAAGCCTGTCTCTGAGCTCTGTAGGCAGGTCCTTTGACCTCATGGCTATTGCTCTGAAACAGTATGCATTGTCACCTGTGAGGCCTTTTATAGAGAGGTGTGTGTCTTTCCAAATTATGCCCAATCAATTTAATTTACCACAGGTGGACTCCAGTCAAGGTGTAGAAACATCTCAGCAACGATCAAAAGAAATGGGAGGCACATGAGGTAAATTTCAAGTGTTTTTGCAAAAGGTCTGCATAATTATGCCAATGTGATGTCTGTTTTTCCATTTTTCATACATTTGAAAACATTTCTAAAAGCACAAGCATCTTTTGTTGAGTGCTGGTCTTTAGCCATCTTCATTGGCCATTGTGGGATGTCATAACTCCTGTCATCCCCTCATGCAGTATACACACACACACCAGTATATATACAGTCATGGCCAAAAATATTGGCACCCCCACATTTCTATCAGATAATGCACCACTTCACCCATAAAATTGTTGCAATTACAAATGTTTAGGCATTCTCATGTTTATTTTCTTTTGTTTGTATTGGTATGACACAAAACAGTGGAGAAATAAAAAGCCAAATCTGACACATTCAATGCAAAACTTCAAAAATGAACTGGAGAAAATTGGCACCTTCTCAAAATTGTAATAAATAATTGCATTCCAAGTTTGTGATGCCCCTGTAATTTGTAATTAAACTCACTTGTATCAATTAACAGGTGCTGACAATATAGAAATCACACCGGCAACCACCTAAAATGGTGAAAAATGTACTCAACTTTCTGTTGAGTGTCTCTATGTGCCACATAGAACACGGAGAAAAGAAAGAGCAGCAAGGAATTGTCTGAGGATTTGAGAACAAAATTGTGGAAAAGCATGGACAATCTCAAGATTACAAGTTCATCTCCAGAGATCTGAATGTTCTCGTGTCCACTGTGCATGACACTGTCAAGAAGTTTACAGCCCATGGCACTATAGCTAATCTCCCTGGTCGTGGATGAAAGAGAAAAATTGATTAAATATTGCAACAAAGGATTGTTCAAATGGTAGCTAAAGAACCTTAATCAACTTCCCAACAAATTCAAGCTGACCTTCAGGCACAAGGTATAACTGTGTCAGCTCGCTTGATACGTCACCATCTGAATGAAAAGGGACGCTATGATAGGAGACCCAGGAGGTCCCCACTGCTGACACAGAAACAAGAAAAAGCTCAATTGGAGTTTGCCAAAACTTGAGGAAGTCAAAATCTTTTTGGGAGAATGTGCTGTGGACAGATGGAACAAAATTACATCTTTTTGATAAAGCCCATCATTCTACTGTTTTCAGAAAAAGAAATTAGACCTTTAAAGAAAAGAATACAGTCAAACATGTTGGAGATTCACTGATGTTTTGGGGTTGCTTTGCTGCTTCAGGCACTGGATGTCTTGACCATGTACATTGCATTATGAAATCTGAAGACTACCAAAGATTTCTGGGGTGCAATGTATGTCCCAGTGTCAGAAAATAGGGTCTTACAGCAGGACAATGAGCCAAAGCACACGTCAAAAAGCACCCAGAAATGGTTTCAGACAAAGCGCTTGAGAGTACTAAACTGTCCAGCAATGAGTCCAGATTTCAATCCCATAGAGCACCTGTGAAGAGATCTCAAAACAGCAGTTGGGAAAAGGAGCCCTTCCAATCTGAGATACGTAAGAAACTCATTGATGGTTATATGAAGCAATTTATTTCAGTTATTTATCCAAAGGGCGTGCTACCAAGTATTAAATTAAGGGTGCCATTAACTTTGCCCAGTCCATTTTTGAAGTTTTGGAATGTGTCAGATTTGGCTTTTTCCTTTTCCACTTTTTTGTGTCATACCAATACAAAAAAAAAGAAATAAATACATAGTCTAGAGTGGATCTGGAGATGAATTGACATGAATTTACACAACAGTTTGTGCATAGAAAAAAACACTAATTTACAGTTTTTTGTGCATAATTTATTTTCTAAAGGTTTTTATATCTAGGGCTGTTTTGGAGGATTGTTTTCCCTATGTTGCTCACCTGTCACAGACGCCCTCTGATACATTGTTGGGTTACTGTTAGTGGACAGCACCATCTGCATCCTCTCCTTAGCTCGGGCCTGTGCCTGCAAGAAGAAAAACGAGTTTGCTGCAAACTCTACAGTGGAACTACAGGCAGAATTAAAAATCAGTCAACTAATTATATCCTGGAAACACACTTAACTGCTAAAATCAGATGAACAGGATGCGCATTGTGGTGCTCAGTACTGCTGGCGCATTGGCAGCTACTGTACGAATGCATTGGGGTGGCAGTCTTAAAGTTTTACTAAACCCACGACAGTAAAAATCAGTCTGTATATGCAGTAAAGCATGCTTGTTATACTCACTGTGGAACCTAAGGGGTTAATCCTCTGCATTGTGTAAAAAGGTTGTTTGATCCTGTCTTCTCAGATTGGGGACAGTAAAATAAGCAGAAGATCAATCTTCCCTTACTGTCCTACATAGTTACATAGTTAATCTGGCTGAAAAAAGACAAAAGTCTATCCAGTTCAACCAAAAAGAAAAAAACTTTATAATCCTATATCCACAGGTGATCCAGAGGAATGCAAAAAACCCAACAAAGCATGATCCAATTTGCTCCTGCTGGGGAAAAAAATATTTCCTGATCCCCCCGAGAGGCAATCGAATATTCCCTGGATCCCTGCTAATAATATTTTCACTGGCAAGAAGTGAGAGGAAATCTTCATCTGAGACTCAGACAGCAGTAAAAAGCGAACACTTTTCTAGCCTCCCCTACTTCATTTACAGAATGATTGTCCTGTACTTCAGTTAGGCCTCGTTCACATAGGGCTTAATATACCTAACCCCTGTGCAAGGCTGTGTTTACCCTCATGGGGATACACAGGTGTTCCAGGCACCACTGTGCAGGCAGTCCCATTGATGCAAATTGGGACACAGTGGCTGCACGGACACAGCCACTGTATCCCAATATGACATACATGGGCTTGAGGGTGTGTGTGTCCCCAAAATCACATTGTCTGCATTTGGGGACAAGCACCCGCACCCACATTGATGTCATATTTGGATATACAGTTGCAAGAAAAAGTATGTGAACCCCTTGGGATTACATGGAGTTTTGCATGAATTGGGCATAAAATGTGCTCTGAACGTCATCTAAGTCACAACAATAGAAGAACACAGTCTGCTGAACATAATACTACACAAACATTAGATGTTGCCATGGTTTAATTTTACATAAGATGTAAACATTCACAGTGCAGGGAGGAAAATGTATGTGAGGCCCTAGCTTAATGACTTCTCCCAGAGCTAATTGGAGCCAGGAGTGAGCCAACCTTGACTCCAATCAGTGTGATGATATTGGATGTGTTGCTGACAGCTGTCCTGCCCTTAAAAAACACACACATGTTTTGGGTTTACTGGTATCAAGAAGCACTGTCTGATGTGAACCATGCCTCGCAGAAAAGAGCTCTCAGAAGACCTACGATCAAGAATTGTTGACTTGCACGAAGCTGGAAAGGGTTACAAAAGTATCTCCAAAAGCCTTGATGTTCATGTGTCCACGGTAAGACAGACTGTCTACAAATGGAGAAAGTTTAGCACTGTTGCTACTCTCCCTAGGCGTGGTCGTCCTGTAAAAATGACTGCAAGAGCACAGCGCAGAATGCTGCATGACATAAAGAAGAATCCCAGAGTGTCAGCTAAAGACCTACAGAAATCTCTGGCACATGCTAACATTTTTGTTGACACATCTACAATAAGGAAAACATTAAACAAGAATGGAGTACATGGGAGGACACCTGTCAGGGATGCGGGTGTGACCAGAGATGTGTGTACTGACAAAGGGAAACACAGGCTCCAGATATGATATAAACAAGACAATTTATTAAGACTAACAATACAAACAAACGCAGTGCACCAAACCCCAAGCTAACACAAATACATACAACAAGGTGAAACAAACCCAAACCTAAACTGGTATAGATACACAGGTACATACACATATAGAGCACAATGTAATCAGGCAGGCCGGGTCGATAACTATCGGGCAGGTAGGTACAGGAGGAGCAGGCGGAGAGAATGGTCAGGGTCACAAGCCAGGGATCAAAACAGGAGAAGTCAGCAGAGGTCAGGATCAGGCAGGGTCGGCAACAAGTCAGACAGGAACAGGAATGCAGGTTACAAGGTACAGGGGCCCATGGAAAAACACCCACCAAGGCACAGACTGCAGGTCTGGCCATCCCTTAAATACACCTGCAATCAGCCCCAGGTGATGGCTAATTGCCGAAGTGAACCTCTGGTTCACCAGGTGGAGCAGCGGGCACCGGGCCCCCAGGCAGGGCGGCAGGCACCGGGCAACCAGGCAGGGTGGCAGGCACCGGGCAACCAGGCGGAGCGGCGGGCACTGGGCCCCCAGGCGGAGCGGCGGGCACCGGGTCACCAGGCAGGGCGGCGGGCACCTGGCCACCAGGCAGGGCGGCGGGCAACGGGCCACCAGGCGGAGCAGCAGGCACCGGGCCACCAGGCGGAGCGGCAGGCACCGGGCCCCCAGGCAGGGCGGCGGGCACCGGGCCACCAGGCGGACCGGCGGGCACCGGGCAACCAGGCAGCAGGGCGGCAGGCAGGCACCGGGCCATCTGGCTCGACAGCAGGCATCGGGTCACCAGGTACAACAGCGGGCACCGGGTCATCAAATATTGGATCGTCTTGCTCGACCGCGGGCACCAGGTCATTTGGCTCAACAGCGGGCATCGGGTCACCAGGCACGACAGCGGGCATCGGGTCACCAGGCATCACAGTGGGCACTGGGTCATCAGGCATTGGATCGTCTGGCAAGACTGCGGGCACCGAGTCATCTGGCAAGACGTGGGCACCGAGTCGTCTGGCAAGACTGCGGGCACCGAGTCGTCTGGCAAGACTGCGGGCACCGAGTCAACTGGCAAGACAGCGGGCACCGAGTCAACTGGCAAGACAGCGGGCACCGAGTCATCTGGCATAATAGGATCATCAGGCTGGATCAGTTCATCAGGCTGGGTAGAAACATAATGCTGGGTAAGACATCAGCCCCAGGTGATGGCTAATTGCCGAAGTGAACCTCTGGTTCACCAGGTGGAGCAGCGGGGCACCGGGCCCCCAGGCAGGGCAACCGGCAGGGCACCGGGCAACCAGGCAGGGCGGCAGCAGCGGCACCGGGCAAGGCCGGCGGGCACCTGGCGGCAGCGGCGGGCAACTGGGGCCCCCAGGCGGCGGAGCAGCGGGCACCAGGCACCAGGCAGGGCGGCGGGCACCTGGCCACCAGGCAGGGCGGCGGGGCGGGCAACGGGCCACCAGGCAGGGCGGCGGCGCACCGGGCCACCAGGCGGAGCAGCGGGCACCGGGCCACCAGGCGGAGCAGCAGCAGCACCGGGCCACAGGCAGGCGGAGCGGCAGGCACCGGGCCCCCAGGCAGGGCGGCGGGCACCGGGCCACCAGGCAGGGCGGCGGGCACCGGGCCACCAGGCGGACCGGCGGGCACCAGGCAACTAGGCAGAGCGGCGGGCACCGGGCAACCAGGCAGGGCGGCAGGCACTGGGCCATCTGGCTCGACAGCAGGCATTGGGTCACCAGGTACAACAGCGGGCACCGGGTCATCAAATATTGGATCGTCTTGCTCGACCGCGGGCACCAGGTCATTTGGCTCAACAGCGGGCATCGGGTCACCAGGCACGACAGCGGGCATCGGGTCACCAGGCATCACAGTGGGCACTGGGTCATCAGGCATTGGATCGTCTGGCAAGACTGCGGGCACCGAGTCATCTGGCAAGACGCGGGCACCGAGTCGTCTGGCAAGACTGCAGGCACCGAGTCGTCTGGCAAGACTGCGGGCACCGAGTCAACTGGCAAGACAGCGGGCACCGAGTCAACTGGCAAGACAGCGGGCACCGAGTCATCTGGCATAATAGGATCATCAGGCTGGATCAGTTCATCAGGCTGGGTAGAAACATCATGCTGGGTAAGACATCAGGCTGCACCACGGAAGGCAGGTTCTCAGATGGGAGGCTGACCGGTTTGGATACTGGCAGGATGGTATTGGTTGGAAAGAACTTTCGCCTTTTCCTGGTTTTAGTTACTGGAGCACTGTAAGTAAGCGCAGGTTTGTAAACGGATGGAGCAGCTGGAGGCAGAGAAGAGCTGGAGGATGGAACAGAGGAGGGAGCAGTTGCTACAGAGGACTTCTTTACAGGGTTGAAGAAAGGATAGGTGCAGCAAGTGGGAGCAGGGGACTGGTATGTGGTAGTTAGCAGAGTATACTGGGCCATCACTGGGGTGCTGTCGGGGATGCAGGAAGAGTGCCTTGAGCAGAGGAATGATGTTGCAAGCCAACTGAGGCTGGGTGTAACAAATCTGTCCATGTCTGCAGTACTGGTTTAACAAAACTCAGCTTACACCTAGCCTGTCTGATCAAAGACTGCACTGCGTTTATGCAATCCATAAGCACATGTGATGGACATGCTGCATAGTGCTCATGGAAACAATCTGGATCATCCTCCAACAACCATACCAGTGATTCCACTTGATCCACACTAAATGGGGGAAAAAAGTCATCCCTGCTTTCAGGGGTACAGGACCGAGCCAACTCGGCACAAACCTGGATCAATGGCTGCACCTCAGAAAACTCTGTGCCCTCATCAACTAGACAATGAGCGATCCTTATACACTCTAGCAGTTGATCCCGGGGATACTCCTTCAGAGTCTGATAAGCATAGTCTTTGTCATCAAACACTAGCAGAGATAAATATACCACCTCATCAAGATCCATCCTTCCCAGCAACAATAAGCCAAGATGGCCTCCCTGTGCAGCCACTATTGGTCAGGTTTAGGGCCTTGGTGTAATGTCAGAGATGCGGGTGTGACCAGAGATGTGTGTACTTACACTGGGAAACACAGGCTCCAGATATGGTATAAACAAGACAATTTATTAAGACTAACAATACAAACATAAACGCAGTGCACCAAACTCCAAGTTAACACAAATACATACAACAAGGTGAAACAAACCCAAACCTAAACTAGTATAGATACACAGGTACATACACATATAGAGCACAATGTAATCAGGCAGGCCGGG